CTGGTAACATGCTCCAATTCTGCTAGTCAGCATCTCTTTCTGTTATAAACTAACGGGTGTAATGTTTTTTCCTAATTTTTTTATTAGTGTCCGCTGCAATTCCTACCTGACATCTCTTTTCTATGTTTACGATATTCCCTACAACGTTTGTCGTGAGTAAAAGTAAGCGTTCTATCAGCAACAGCTCTACTCTAGTTAGTAAGTTGATAGAAGAAAATAAATGCGACAGTTTTATTGCGAATTATGCCAATTTTATCGTCCCAACTATATATGGCCCACTTCTTATTGACTTCCGTAGCAGCCTTTCTTCTCCTATTCTTTCACATCTCATTTCAAACGCTTCTATAACCTTTTCTTTTTCACACTTATCAATTAAGAAATCTAGAATAAAACGACATGAAGATTAAATCTAAGGCGTAATTCAATTCTCTATAGCTAGGCTTTTAATAGTTAGCTAATAACGATGTAACTTTGGGGAGGGGGTGTCATACATCGTATTCTAAGTATTGTAAATGAGTTCAATGCATTGTTGTTATATCTTACAATCTTCATTATGCGAATTTTTCTGTTTGTTTCTTTAAATTGTAGTTATGAAGTGTTTCCAATTACGCAATTTTCCCGTAGAATTATGCAAATGTTCCACTGACTGGATTTTAAAGCTTTGCGATTATGTTAATGTTGCACAGGACAGTAGTTTATTTCATGCATTGCATTTTGTAGATTAAATTGTGCATGTATGTTGACAGTACGACTGTTGAATTAATTCTTTGCTTTTTCTATCTAATCGTAAGTCCACTCGGATAACAGTAGCTGTTATGAGATATTCGTAGAAAACAATCCCGATTAAGTCATAAGAATTTGTTATGTCAAACTATGTACACATAGGTGTAATTATGCATTACATCTGCGTTATTTGTTTAAATAACATGTTATGCTGTGAAGCGTCACCAAAAACCAATAAATTATTCAGAAGTAAACCACAATTACAAATTTAATATTAAAATTGCTATTTTTCTTTAACAAGTTTAATGAATTTTCATTTTATTTTCGTCGTGTAAACTGAAAATGCACTGCTATTTATTAAATAAATACAATCAATAATGTTTTTGTGATTTTCTTTTTTGTTTATCGCCTACAAGAACAGAACCACAATTAAGATCTCTCGGCTGCAAAATATATGAGATTGTTGGGAGTTAATTAATATTATCCCAAAACGTATATTCAGTTATAAACAAAGGTCACGTTACGTGGTGGTAGAATAAATTTTAATTGAAAACGCACAATTTTGTTTTCAATAAAAAAATTATAAAACTTATTGGTAAAGGTCTAGATGATGGCTCCCACCCCATTCGGGGTGGGGAGGATCCTAAAATTCCATC